AGCAGTAGCCTGCAGTGCTGCATTTAACCACTGCGCCACCTTGGCTCTTAGTCCCCAATGAAGTCCATGGCTACTACTTCCCATGGTTGGACGGGAGCTGTTACTGGCTGTAAAAGGCCGGGAGGTTTCCCTTGCCATTTTTTCATGGTGGTGAATATGACGCAGCTCTGCAATAATCCTCTATGTCCCCCTTCATGCGAGGCCACCAAAACTGTTGATTGGTTAAGTGTAAGGTCTTAAGAAACCCAAAATGCCCAGCCGATCGGGCGTCGTGGCAGCAATGCAGCACGTCTAACCAATCACATGATGACACCGTGATGATGCGAGTTTGACACCCCTGTTCAAGTGTCTCTACTTCGTAAAGTCGTTTGGAGCAAACAAAGCTATACTTGGTGGGGTGCTTGAAGAGATATTTTTACTTTTCCACGTCTCAATACTGCTGTCATGTTCTTTTCCAGGATGCAGAATGACATTAAGCAGCCGGCACATCTGCGACGCAAGTGAGTATCAGGACTGTAGTCAGATGCAAAAAGTGAACAAATATGTGAAGGCAAAGAAGAGCATTGGGGGAAGGAAGGGCTACGAGACTTGTCTCTGTTTAAAAAAAAAACCCTGTTGAATATGTATGACCACAGAGGAACAAAATTGATCTTCAGATGTCCATTCTCTCAAGTCTAAGATCTCTTTTAAATTGGTGGCAATCTCACCACAGATGCCCAAGTCCCATCTGTCAGAGCTATCAGACAGAAAATCGAATTAAAAGTCTTTGATAGTTGCCAGCTGGGGTAGTAAGTGCCTTTCAGAATTACATGAATATTGATGAAAGCTGTTGATTGTCTCTTCCTGTTTCCCAGCTACTCCCATGCCTTGAATGGCCTGTACCGGGTGTTTCGTGAAGGTAAGAATGTAATCAGTGTACAGCCGAAATATATTGTGACTCTTAAGACAGGGGTGTCAAACTCGCGGCCCACAGGCCAGATGCATCACACTCTGGCCACCCCCAACCTGGTTTAGCGAAGGGGGGGAGTTGTGATACATCATGTGACAACATGACGACGTGAGTTTGACACCAGTGGTGGGATTCAATTTTTTTTTACTACCAGTTCTGTGGGCGTAGCTTGGTGGGCATGTCAGGAGAAGGATACTGTAAAATCCCCATTTCCTCCCCACTGCAGGGGAAGGATACTGCAAAATCCCCATTTCCTCCTGATCAGCTGGGACTCGGGAGGCAGAGAATAGATGTGGGCAGGGTCAGTCAGAGGTGGTAATTACCGGTTCTCCAGAACTGGTCAGAACCTGCTGAATGCCACCTCTGTTTGACACCCCTGCTCTGGGAGGCTATTGTTGAATTAAGCTTACTTGAAGGGGAAAAGAGTCCCCTGAGCAGAACACTCTATAGTAGAACTTGGAGGCAACTAGTGGTCCTCTAGGGAGGGCTACTTTATGTTTTTAGTTGTGAAGTCGAGTCCGACCCATTGCGACCCCATGGGCAATGTTCCTGTCCTCTACTATCCTCTGGAGTCCATTTAAGCTCATGCCAACTATGCTTCGGTGACTCCATCCAGCCACCACATACTCTGCCATCCCCTTCCTCTTTTGACATCAATCTTTCCCAGCATTAGGCTCTTCTCCAGTGAGTCCTTCCTTCTCATTAGGTGGCCAAAGTATTTTGAG